CTTTCCATCCTCAGAGGATTGACCTGATTCACTAATGACTTGAACATAAACACAATTTCACTGCCTGAGAAGCCGGGTGTGCAGCTGTTCCAGGTCACCAGAGTGAGCCGGGGCTCATGAGGCTCACAGATGAACCCGACCCCATCATCTGTGAAGTCATCCCTCTATAGCAAGCTCTTTTTAGAGCTGCTTACTTCACAGATTGTAACTTTCTCTCTCAAGAACTTGCCACACTCCCCTGGGCATTTCATTTGCATGAAATATAACAGTGACTAGAGTTCAGAAGAGCTGTAATAAGGGTGCAAGTCAGGCTAGATCCAGTGCTGGAGCTTGGCACTTTCTCTGGTAGTGCCACTCCTATCCCATGTAGGTTCAATAGACTACGCTTGTTTTTATGAGCAAGGCAAAAAAAATGCTCAGAATATTTTATGCAATCACTGATTTTTCCCCTCTTACAGCAGCCACGAGGCCAAAAGAGTGAATGGGGAACTGAATATAAACTACACGGAAGTCTCTCCTATCGGCCTGGTCCCATAATCATCTGGACTTGGGCTAATAAGTTGGTGCATGCAAATCAGTTCTCTTGGAACAGGAGTATTTGAAGAAGGGAAGAAAGACTGGCAGATACCTGGATTTCAACCTGCAGTAGAGTCAAGGTACAGCCAGAACTTTCACTGTGCAGCTTCGGTCTTTGAAAGACAAAACCAGGCTCTTGTCTCCAATCCTATTAACAGCTCTCAAGGAGAAAGGTAAAAAAGGGACAAAGATCTTCCTGAAAGCAACTTCTCCCTTTTATTTTACACTACCTTCATTTATACCAGCCCTCTGACATACATACATTTTATATAATGTATTATATACATTATCCTACAACTCTTTTCTGATTCTATCTGATGGATAGAATCTATTTGGGAAAGATGATTTCTTACTAAGTGTTTCTGGGCCAAGATTCCTGAAATATTTAATTTTCTACAGCAGTGCCTACTGGTTTTGTTTGTTTTGTGCTTGTTTTTCCTCCCCAAGAAAAAGCTGCTACAAGAAAGATGGACTTAATCAAAGCTCCCAACTGTCTGGCCTGCTGAAAATGAAATTGTACAAACAGATGTGGGAATTTCTTGTTTTAATTAGGCCTTAGGACTTAGGACTGAGGTCAGCACTCTAAAAGTCTTTTTTGACTTAACAGGTTTTAGCCAGTTGTTTTAATATTCATCAGCTTAAGGAATAAATGGAGAGGCTGTTTCTAACAGGAAAATATATAGTGCTTTTCCACATGAGAATTGCTACCCAAAAGATACAAGGCATAATCTTTTCACGGAATGCAGAAAATTTAAAACATCGGCAAAATTGTGTCTGTTTTAGATATTTCTAAATATTACTGGCAATTAACTTTAGCATTTGAAGGGAGATTAGAGGCACAGGTGAAAGCAGACAAATTTCAGAACAACTTTTCTGAAAAAAGAGGAATGGAATTAATTTCTAGTTGTCTCCAGAATTGTATCAAATTTAATTGAGAGAACTTCTTTAACATTCACATCACCTGTCATGTTTAGTGTTGTGTATCTTTGTGTGTGACCACAAAACCAGGCTTAACGCTTCTTCTTTAAGTCCTTTCCTACCAGGAAAAGGGATGGCTGCAACTTCAGCGGAATAGTTTGCTATATCTGATAACCTAAAATTTCTTCACTCAGCGTCAGATGAAAAAGTTTTGTGTTTTTTCTTTTTTCTTACAACTGCTTTAAGAGTATGCCTGTATTGCTACCAGTCTTTTTGCATGTGTGTGTGTGTGTGTGTGTGGTGTGGGGGGGGTTCAGATTGCAATTTTCCCACACTATGTGGGTGTCTATGTAGTGCCATGGAGGCACTCTACAGTGCTTTAGCTCATGTATACCATTATTTTCTTTTTTTCATTTCACAGGACCTCTGAAAAGCACTACTTAATACACATTATTCAAACACATACTATGACCTTAGTACTGCTAAGTTCAAGTGTAGAAAAGACTGGTCAAATATTGCCATTAGTAGATGTTTGCTGATGCAGACTACTGACCATAGCTATTTCTAATCTGTGCTGCTTTTAACAAGATCTTTGTAATTTGAAAAATTTGTATAGGACACATAGGTGAACATTTGTGAATGTCTGTTGATAGGAAACTTATTGACTTTCTTCTTGCTTCTATGTGCCATGATCATCTAGTCAAGAAGCACATATAATGCCATTTTACTGGGACGGTCCATTGAGAGCAAACATAAAGACAGTAGATGACTGAACACAAATCAACTGCTCAGATGTGTTCCATCTGAATAGTGCTAAAGATCACTTTCAATTTCAAAAAAAAAAAAAAAAAAAAAAAAAAGAAACCCAAATCATTCGCAGAATAAGATGGAACATTCATTAGTTTCCATGAGGCATTCAGCAAGCTCAGACTCCCAAAGGATACCAGCTTGGCGGGACACTAACATACAAACCATCTGTCTTGCCGCTACACATCTTGGAGCTGGCTTCTAGGAAAGACCACATTTAAAAAATGTGAAGGCCTTTGTTTGCTGGTGTAATGCATCATCTAACCTTCTTGGACTTCACTTAATAATTCCAGCTATCACTTCTCATTTCCACATTCAGTAAAAGGATAAAAATGGAGTATGACAGTTTAAAATAGAAAATCTTGAGCTGACTCACCTTTTCCGAGGTGTTCCTGCTGGTGCAGGCAACACTCTAAACTATTTCAAGTCTAAACTACTTCCAAGAAAGAAAAAAAAAAAACAACAACAAAAAGGACCACATGACAAATATGGTATCTCCACATATTTAAATCACCCTTTGTAGTGGGAAGAAAGGATTTCTTAAGGAATTAAAAACATAAGGGGCTATGGGATTTTAATTGAAAATGACTTGCAAAGCAATGCTATGAAGTGCCAGCAAGAATCCACTTGCCTGAGGAAATGTTTTTCTTGCATTATGGTGGCAACATTCAGGTGAAATGTTTGGTCCCCTGCATACACCTGTGTGTACAGCCTTTATTCAGGGAATTAATTTCATCAGCAAGAAGAATGAGGCCAAATAAGCTAATTAGCTTTAAGATGAAGCTTAACAACTTATAATATTATAAAAGCCACATGTGTCTTTGATAGAAAGAAACAGGACTGAGGAAGTCTTAACATAGTAAATTACTATGGTCCAAATCACCAAGTAGATAATTATGTTATTAGAGCAAGGACTATGTGATTATCAAATCAACACACTTCATATATTATAACCTGATCTCCAGTCTGAGCTATCAGGCCTTTTAATTTACTGGCAGGAAGACAAACCTCCAATAAAAGTTTTCATAAGCACTGATTCATAGAGCATCATTAATTTACCAATGTAGAAGTTACTAAATTAAATATTTACAGGTGCTTTCCTACATCAGAATTTCTTAGTGTTAAACAAGACAGCTGGGTAGTAGGTGTATTCATCTTCAAAACTGCTTGCTGGGCATTAAGAGCAGATAGAAATTCAGTAGCACTCTTCCCAAGAAGCAGCAAAAGTCTAAATTTTGGGACCTCACAAGTATCTTCTCTGCTTAGACAGTGCTCCCAAATCCTGGGGCTAGTCCCTTGGCATCTGGTGCGTATTTTCTAAAGAGTTGTTGGATGAAGACCAGTTCAGCTAATGCTGTAAGCACTTGCTGTCTTAACTTAATAAATGAATGAATGAAGATCTGTTTCCCATAGTGAAGTGAAGCCTATGGAAATGTGTGTGTTAATGTAACTCCAAACCTAGCTAGGGCCCATTTTGTCTCTGGCTTCTGAAGAGCAGCCTTAAATGTAAAGTAACATGCCATGGGGAGGTGAAGGCAGAAAAGAGCATGGCAAAAATGCCATATATTACTCTAAGTAAATATTGCCTTTTTTGATAAAAGAGTAAATATATTTGCATCTTCAATATGTGCGTGTCTGTTTCTCTGTGTGTGTATACACCTATAAGGTTTGAATAATAGAGGATCTCCAAAAGTGTTAACTCTTGAGGGATCCCAAAACAGAAAAAAAAAGAAAAAAAACCCCAAAACTATAGTTCTTTCAGCACTTTACAATCACGCTCAGCTGTTACATTTTCCAAAAAGATTCAACTGGCATTTAGAGTATACACAACACATACACACACTTTTCTCTCTTTACTCCCATAACCAGGATCCATCAAAGGCTTTTGTAGGCCAGAACTACATCCATTTAGGGGGTCAGATGAGGAAGGAAACACTGCTAAAGCTGCCCTATTGCAGGTGGCCTGACACATCACTCACTCCTCTTTAATGTGGGTCTGAGGATGGCCACACAGGATGGGATGTATCTTTATTACCCATCTCCTAGCTCAGATGCTCCTCTACTCATCACACCCAAAGAGCCACCTAAAGAAAGTGGTCTGAGAAAAGTCCACTCAAGTGCAACTGCTACTTGAAAAAGGGGCTTACAAGTCACAGTTGGAGATGATATTTTATAGATACAATCATCCATCAGAATACTTTGGGTAGCCTGTTACATGTCAGCTTATGAAAAACAAACAAACCAAAAGCCCCCAGGCACTGAAGGTATGTTAAAAATAGCAAAATCAGCACCAGAATTCTATAAAAGTAAGGTTTTAGGAAGCCAATACTTTTACATTTCCTTAAAGTCCTGAGGAATCAGTGACTAAAGTCAGATGTTCTTTCAAACTTGCCACAGTACATTGAAGCTATATGTAATAGTGATTTAACAGATATTCCAGTCTCACTTAAAACAAACAAAAAACAAATGGTGGAAAAAAAGACACTGGAAGGCAGTAATCTGTTGGCTTCAGTGCTCTTAAATGCTCTAGAAAAATTACGATCAGGAAAAGTGTCACACATTTTTCTCAAAATTTTCAGTTATCTCAAATGCTTATGAGAATAATTGCTAGGTCATACTAACTAATAATATCTTTTTGCTTTAAAAAAAGAATAGTACTTTTATAATAATAGGGAAATCGCTTTGCTGAGATGTTTTACCTTGTTTTATTTCTGAGGTTTCTAGTCTTTCCAGTGCAGTTGATTTCTCCCCACAGGACTCTGACCTTTATTACTTGCTGACAACACGTCTGACAAACAGTGTTTTGCTGTGGTAGCTGGGGTTGAGCCATCTGGTTTTTCTCTAGAGATCCATGTGTTACTCATAATGACATTTTTCTGTTTCATTCCCTGGGGAACAGTCCCCACAAGCTGATTTCCTATTTGACCCAAAAATACATCATCACATTTCGACACGTGATCCCTCCCCTTTCCGGCACAGAACGTGCTACTCTTGGAAAGTTTCAGCGGATCGTTCGTCTTTGAGGGTACGGGCCAGGAGGCTTCATGTTGGACCTTGGGCAAATTGCAGCCAGACTTCAGATCTGAATTGGAGGGGACAACCAAAGGTATCTGAGGAGGAAAGGAAAGAAGAATATGTAACTTTGGGTGTCCCAGTATGCTCTTAAGACATGAAAACATGTCATTCTTTGCACCGTGGCTAATTCCAGCTGTAGCTTTCTATTTAATTGTACAATAGATCCGTGTCATGCTCTCCCTGGAATTTAATTAAAGCACACATGGTGCATTATTAAAAAATCCCTGAGCTTGCAAAGATCAGATCAATCAAAGAGAAACCTGTTCTGCCCTTCCTAATAATTCTTTATAATGACAATATTTTCATTGATCTTCTATATACAAGTGTGACAATGACTAGGAAACTGGACCTGAACAAGTATCCTCTCAATTAAATATCTTAAGAATTTCAGAAACAGAAACATTATTTTAGCTTGTTTTATTCCATTCATTTCAATCTTAGGTTATAAAGAAAATTGTAGCTTTTGCTTAAAAGTACTCTAGCTGAGTGGTTCCAATAATTGGATATTTGAATTTCGTTTCTGAACACTTAAGGAGAGATTATATTGTTTTAAAGAGGATGAAACCTCTTGCGTGTCTAGGTTAGCCATAGACTGTCACAAATGCTATTGCAATTGATCAGCTCTGCTCTTAACAGGATTCCTGCAGTTAATGGAAATTACTATAAAGGGCTTCAGGGCAGAGGAATAATTAGATCACTAAAGCAATAGGAGGAAAAAAAGGTAGGACAGGGTCTATATGTTGATGACGTTTTTTCTTTAAGCATCAAACCTTTTTCAAAGATGGTCTTACTAGAATATATCATAAGAAAAAAAAAGAACTATTTTTACACACCTCAAGCATCCTTGAGCAATGAGGAAGAATATGCACAATGAAAAACACTAAGTGTTCATTGTCCTCAGATTGTTTAAAGTAGAAAAAGGGTGCATTTCTCGAAATGATGATTTAAATATGTATATGATCTATAAAATGACTTCCTAGAATAACAGAATTCACCAAACTGTGACAAAATGTTTTTACTAACCTCGTAATTATTGTGATGGTTTTGTGTTAGCTCCTGATGTAAGGCTATGATCCTCTCTGAACTAATTAATTTTAGAGCAGAACTTGGAGTGAGGGGAGAACTATGGAAGCCACCCCTGCTTTGCAGAGCATCTTTAGGTATTGGCCCAGTCATCCCAGTCACTTTAACATGTTTCTCAGGATCGTTTGTCTCTCCATTAGCCTTTGTAGTGTCTGCAGAAGAAGGCAACATCTGCAAGATAAAACACCATTTTAAGGAATTCAAGTTATATAATGTTTATTTTGAAGAACCTCTAAACAATATTCACAAAATTTTTTAAAGGATATGTCAATTATCTTAAGGATATTTTTTAATCCCCCAGAAGCATTCCCACATCTGTCTAAAATGGAAGAATGGAAGGCAACACTCCCCAACTCTTCCACAACAAACAAAACCCTCTAAGATTTAACTATATCCAAAAATTACATACTAAGAAAAATCCAGAAACAAGTTGAAAAAATACTAATTTTAAGATTTACACAATGCTGAGCCTCCTCTCGCAGAATCTCTAACATGTTTTGCTCACACCTTCTCTCATTTCACACTAAATAACAAATTCAGGCTTGTCTACCCATGAATGCTCAAAGTAGTTAAGCTGAATAGACTATATAGGTATAATTGTTCAGCTGCATAAGTTTATGCAGCTGAACAATTCACATAGTTTTCACATATTTTTTCCTGAATATCCTCTTTATTGAAACAAAGTCATCTTTGGAGAGAAATGTGTCAGATGCAGCTTTTTAGAGCAGTTGCAAGAAGGAAGAAAGGATGTTCCCAAAAGCAAATGACCAGGCAAGTGCATTTCATCATCCAAACACAGATGCACTAAGACAACAGAATTAATGACATTTTTTTTCTTGTAATTACAAGAAATAGTGACAATAAGTAGACATAGTATAGTGACATAGAGATGTAAAATTGCTCTTAAATGACACCAACAGTGGACCAATATTTCCTGACAAGCTCACGCATCAAAATCTAATGCTGTCATGGCATCAGAGAGACTGTATGGTGTGTGAGCTCTTGTCACAGCCAATAAAAAGAAACTTGCCTGTCTTGCACTAAGTCTTGATCACTTGCAGGAGTGATAAGCCTGGAGCTTTATGAGAAATGTATGGCTTGTATGAAGCTTAAGAGCAGTTCCAGTGCCAAGTTTATATCACATAGATGTCAGCAGTGCTGAACGGGACACCTATAGCCTTGGTGAGGATCCTGAAATCCAGATGTTGTTGTATTCAAGCTAACTAGGCATGAAAAAGCTCATTTTTCTTGCATATCCTACCCATTCTCCACCCAAACCTGAGAACCAACCACCACTGTCATCTCCTGCTTGCAAAGTGATTCCTAGAGTGCTGGGGCATGCCTTATGCCTTTTAACTACACAAACACACCAGGCATGGGCAGGAAGGTGGGCCATGCCTGCTGAGCAGTAGGCCCTGCCCAACAACTTTCCCAAGGGCGGACTGTGTGGGAAGAAAGCGAACAACAAACATGGCAAAGAACACTGATTTTTATCCCATTTCACCTTCTGTTCTTGGCTCTCTACCATGAGAGGAGGGAACCAAAGTTGCTGAAATTTGATCATTGCTTCCACTTAAGTATCCAACACAAGTCAACTGAGGCACCTACTACTCCTCAGCAGTAGTTACTTCTTGTTTCATTTCCTTCAGACTGGGGAACATGATAACGACCTCCAGTAACTGAAGGATCACTCATCACTCAACTTTAGGCACATAATTTAGACTGTTACTTTTCGCTAAAGGTGTTTTTTCCTCTACACTGACTGCAGAGGGAGTCTAGCACGCTATCTGGACACTACCACCAAGGACGGCTTCAGAAATCCTTGCTTCCTAACCATGGTTATGAGCATGGTATCTTCTCCCAGCACTCACAAAGAATGTTGGCTGGTTGAAGGGGATGGGAGACTTCAAAGGAGAGGTCTGAATCTTTTTGAGGCATAAGAAAAAAAATTATCTAAAACCATTTGATGAGAATTTGCTCACTATAGGAAGCACAGTTAGAGGCATCCCTAGAAACAGATAAAAGTCAGCAGGAATAAGAATCAAGTGACCTGCACCAAGGCAAGCAACAGTGGCACCAAGCGAGAAAAAAAACAAACAAGAAAAACAAACAAATAAAGAAAAAGAAATGAATGAAGTAGCTACACAGTGATAGAAGTTTTCACAGAATGTTCTGCATTCTATTAGACACATGGTCTGATTCTCTATGAAAGGCTCTTCTTTGGTAAATTTTAAGACATTGTAAGAGAGTAAAAAGCATATTTTCTACTAAGGACAGAGTTAAACATTTAACTCATGAAACTAAAAATAATCCTTTTTGTCTTATGTTATGTATTTTTCCTTAAAATACCGTATCTTATTTTCTTCCATTAGTTAATTATTCCACATTACTTTTACAATAATAATCTTTTTTTTCCTATATTTTTTGTTTTCCTCTTAAGTTTTCAAAGGAAAAAGCTTCCCCCAGTTAGGAAGATAGAAGTACTGCAATACTACATTGAACCAGAAAAAGTATAAATTTGCACACTAAAACTAAAACTAAACTAAATTAAAAAAATAAAAACACTGCTTTCATAGATATGAATAGAGAGTTGTAATTCCTCTGGAGAACTTCAATTGCATATTTTGTTTTAATTTAAGACTTAACATTTATTAGAAAAATTTATTAGGCTTAGAAGGTTAGTAGAAGGGTTATAAAAACCCTTTTTATAATCAGCTTTTGCTCTGGTTTCGTATACTGTTATAGATCAACACCTCCTGTTAGAAAAAAAATGCTAAAATATCAGTTTTATATATGCTGTCAGAAAACCTTTTAAAATATTTCTCAGCCTAAACCAATTTGACTTTAGAATGGCAGTAACCTTAAATAGATACCATCTTCTTAACCACTGCAAATACTTTCTACTCTTCTGTATTTATTCAGTAATTTTTCTGAAGGCCAAGAATAACATATTTCTCTGTCATGGAAAAGAAAGACAGAAAGACAGAAAGACAGAAAGACGACTAAATAGCAACCACCTCCTCGTTTCTTCCTCTCTCCTCCATCTCATTGGGATTCCAAACAAGTGCAAGCCACATTTTTGGTAATGTCAGAAAAAAAGAAGCCTCTCCCCATGAAAACTTTTATGAAAGGCCTCTTGATCATGATTAGCATTTCTCAAAAGAGCCCGAAATCCCAGAGATAAACCCTTTCTCCACTCCAAGGATGGGACTCATCTGACTGAAGCATATCTCCTCCAAGGGCCTCTTCACAATCAGTGACTTATGGGACACTTGTCTTACCTAAAGGAGATGTATAAATGGGGAGAATAACCCCTAGTAGATATTTTTTTTTGAAAATAAAAAGAAAACATGAAAATAAATATGAAAAATATCCCAGATGTAATTGCTTAAAGTACAGACAGTAAATACGGACTGCAGCTCACCCTCAGTATCAGAAAAGCTTTTAATCTCATCAGTCACGCACAAAACTTTCAAAGGAGAGCATCAGAGAATGCTATCTCAGGGCTTTTATTCAAATATGAGTCACAGAAAAAGCAGAAAGTGGTTCCTTGCAAAAAAAAAAAAAAAAAAAAAAGTTCTACCAGAAAGTATCTCAGAAGAAATCCCCTGAAGAAGGATTACCCTGTGTAGTTCTGTACATTTATCCTCTATTCTATAAAAAAAGGAATCACTACTCTGACATTTTGTGTGTGTGTGTGTGTGTGTGTGTGTATACACACAATGTGCACACAACTCACCCTCAGCCCGAAGAAATGGGAGCAAACAGTCACAACAGCCTCTGATCCACTCTGGAAATAATATATAAAACTTATCATAAAGTGAAAGGCTCTCAGTAAAGATGAATACTTTCTGGTATCAGATATCAGTCAACAGTCTTTGCTGGCACAAAAGAAGGAGAAAAGACTTAAATAGCTGCTGTGGAGCTGCATAGTCTGGGATGAGCTGATGTGAAGGACAGGTCAAGCTCTCTTGCTCCTCCTTTGCATGGTTCTCTAAGCAGAAGTGGAACGGATACACTCACACCCCAGTTATTAAACCTGGGTACAGCCTGTTGCTCAAACTGCAAATAAACCTGTAAAGTTCAAGAAAAAAAAAGTGAACTCTCCCCTTTCACATCTCCTGTTAGTTATGTGAGGTTATCTTTTCCTTTCTGCTCCTCTTACCCCAAATGAACTGGTTGTTGCAAACCCCAGTCCCAGTTCCTCTGGCAGCTGCTTCATGAATATAATGAGTTTATGAATGCTGCGCTGTGCCCTTTCAACGGGACAGGCAGAGAAACAATAACTGTTAGTAATGGTCATGAATTAGTTCAACAACTGCAAAGCATTGCAAGAATAGATGGGGCCAGGGCCTTTGCAACTGAAAAACATCAGTGTTATAAAAGAACGAAAGAAAAAAAAACACAGGAAAATGGGACATGACAAAGGCACAAAAACTGAGTTGGTCACATACCCTATTCTTAACTTGTTTTTGCCTCCTAAATTCTTGAGTCCATATTAGACACACATTGCCAAAGTACTTTACAATGCAAGCCAATTTGCTTTATCCCTCAAAAACTTTTGAGTGCAATACTGGACTAAGAAAACAACAACTCTGCAAATGTTGTTTGAGTCGCTCCAAACTGACCTGATTTGAAATTTTCAGTTAGTGCAGACAGCAAAAGAAAGCAAATTAAGCAAAATGCAACAGTGATTTATAACTGCTCAGAATATAGCCCAGAAAGAAAAGAACAGAAAATGAAAAGAACAATATGTCAGGATGCCTGGGTTTATATCGCTTTGCCCAATTGCTATAGTATGTTAATTGGAATGGCCATTAGGAAGAAAATACTTTTGGCAAACAGGTTTAATAAAGTCCTTCTATATTGAGTATAATCTCTAGAAAGAATGGCCATCTGTTCTGCTCTGAATGAGGAAAGAATGGAAGTTCACTTTTCTTTAAGCAGGAACAACTTGTTAATGTTCACAAGCTTTCCTCCGAGCTTCCTTTCCAGCACACAGCTAGAGCAGATCTATTCAAACCATATATAATTTCCACACAATGGAAACCAAAATAGTTTTAAAAGAGTTTTAAAGTACATATATTTATGTATGTATCTAGAGAGACAGACTAGAGAACAGTGTTTTTCACTGAACTACAGAAAGCCAGGGACTGAAGTTAATAGGGTCCATTTCTTTTCCAAATGTTCTGGATCAGCCCTTCATGCAGGACTGCAAACGTTGGGTTGAAATTCATCAATATGTGAAAGCGGGAAAGTCCCCTGCCAAAGTGTAAGAGGCTTCACTTTGTCATTGGGCCCAGAAATGAATAAATCCAATCATCAATCTTTATTTTAAGGACAAGGAATACACATATGTCCACCATGTTTTCTCTAGAGGCATTACAGTGTTAGGAATGATTAGGAAGTAACATCTGAGAGGAGGGAAGGGAATAAGCTTTTCCAGGACCTTTTATATAAGTAAAAGTTGGGCATAGTTGGGGAATCTCAGATGTGAACTCCAGTGAGAATAATAGTTAAAATGCATGAAAAGAATCCTCAGAGTGAAAGTCAGTTCGGTTTACCATATGTCTACAGAATACAGTACAGGATTTGAAAAACCAAAGGGATTTATCATATGAATACAAAACATACTCTCATATAAATACAAAACATACTCTCTTCTTTGAGACTGCAACTATTTTTGCTACATTAGGAATACTGCCACTTGGAAATTTTCTAACATGTTTTCCACTGCAAACCTAAAATTTTCCTGGGAACATAGAAACCTGTTCTGGCTGGAGAGGCTCCCCCTGCTACACATGGAATCAGTGATCAGAGCCTGATAATGCAAGTATAACTGATGGTTTACAGCATGTAATAACACTAGAAGAATAAGCTCCTTCAGAGTGATACAAAATATGGTAGCTTCTGTCTAAAATTATCAGCAAAATAATCCTATGATTTTACTGTATTATATGTCCATTCTGAGCCATCTCTACTTTGCTCCGGAAAGCAACCAGATGTCAATGTATTTTAAAAGCAAATTATTTTTCATGAACACATTTTCCAGCTTATTAATGGTAGCTTAAGTACCAGAAAATAAAAAGAACACAAGTGCCCACCTTCTCAATATTCCGCAAATTTGTAAGGCAAAAAAATATGTATTTTCCTTCTTCCAGCAACAGAACTAGATTCTGCTTAAGTATATTTGATCAAAACTTTACCAAAAACAGTATGTCTTTTTCTATGGGCGTTGTCTAAATGAACAGAGGGAAAATGAAAGAAAAGGTAGAGCTTACGCAAAGGTTACCAGAGTACCAGAAGGGAATTTCTCTTGATCTCTACATTGCTAAGTTCAAACTCGCATCCTGAAGAATGTCTACAAGTAGTCTCTATACAAAAATATCAAGGTATATTCCCATCGCCAAAGATGCTAACGATAAGGTTGAACAGAGCTACTAATTTCTCAAAATTCAAAGTTCTAATTTCAAGCAAATTTGTATCATATAAGCTCTTTGCCCTCCACCAGGCTAGTTATTCTCCTTCAACAACTTGATACGTGGGTTTTTTTGCGAGAAGAACAGACTGACTTTGTGAGAGGCTCCAGAAGATTTACCGTGACAAAACAGCAGGTAAATGGACAACAGCACTAACACCCAGGTATATTTTAGGTTAACTATACTATGAGTCCCACCAAATACTTAAAACAAGCAAATGCACACACACACACACACACACAAACTGTTTACCTCTCGATTACACCCTGGTGTAAAAGTGACTGTGTACTCTGCCAGTGCCACATCATTCACCAATTTCTTCACCTCTTCATCAAAGGTTGAGCCAACAATTCCTTGCTTGCAAAATTCGTCATGCATCCTGGTAATTAAGTTGTTCCTTTCCTGGCATTTTCGGGTGAGGCAAGCCAGCTTAGCCTGTACAGCACCAACACACAGCGGTTGAATTTAATTTGCTGTCTGATGTAATTCTGCACATTTTGACTCAAAGCTAAACATTGCACTGCTTTGTTTCTAGACCATTCAGCACCTCCGCACCCTTCTACATGATAACCTTGAAAGGGATTTTCACTTTTGCATGTTTGAGGTCCCCCACTGACAAGCTGAGGAGTACTCACAGATAAAGGCTGCTTGTCAGCCCCCTCGTGCTTAAAGCTGAGTAGCAAGCAGTATAAGTCAGTGGCATTTTTAGAAAGCAGCCAGATATACCACACAGAATGGCTGTGATATACCTACATAAATTCTGTAACCAAAGGGATAAACCAGAAGTTTTCCGCAAAATACACTACCTTCAGAGGAGCTACTGTCAACTTTGCTTCACTTTTTCTCTTCTGAAGCTCTTTTGCCTGAAACAATGTTAAATATACCACTTTAATATATTCAAGAGTCACTGTAAGGTAATACTGTAGTTCTTTGATATTTATTTTAGACCTGACTTTCAAGGCATACGCTTTGCATATTTGTGTGAGCCTATATCACAGAGCAGAACAGAAAGCAGCCTAAGACACTGTTTGCACACTGTTAGGCCCTTACATCCAAACAGTTCCCTAGCATTAACATTGACATTATATATTACCAAATGCTTTGGGATATTTTTACATGGAGATTTACACCACTGATGTTATTTCAGCAAATGAAGCACCACATTAAAGATGTTATCCTTCATTATGTATTCATATTCTCATCATTTCTATGAATCCTCCAAACTACTTCTTTGGGTAGCAGTATTCCATTTTCTCATCTACATTATGCTGTAGAATGCAAGACATGGACTGACTCCATGTCAAGCTCTGAAAAGAGTACAATGACAGCTTCACAAGCTTCTGCCACAGTCAGTGTATGTCCTCTACTATGAAATGAGCCAGCTGGCCTCAGCTGTACCTTAAATTAAATTCTTTATTGCTCATGAGCAACCTACTGTCCAATTACACAGGAAAAAAAAAAACAGTAATCTGCCAGATAAAATCTATTTGAATTATGATTCAACACAGAAATATTTTGTAGTGAAGTACAGATTCATTTATATTCATTTTGTTTGTTCATTTGTACTTCCACAAAGTCTTCAGTAAATATATTACATGTCTCAAGCATAAGATTCCCTTGATAAGAAATCAGCTCTACTGAAAGAGGTCTCCTGGTCCTCAGCTAATAAATCATGGCCTAGGGAAGAAACACAGTAGGCAGGGAAGGAGAGAGGCATCTTTACCTCGTGCTAGCACTGAGAGAACAAAGCAGAAGACAGGTCATAGGTCCCTTCACTGGAGACATTACAGTCTTGACACAGCATGGAGCAAAACACTTGCCTGATGCAATTAGGAGTAGCCTATTTCTGGGGATAGCATGTATCACGCTTTATTCACTTGTCATCTGATATGTACCATCTATCAGTAGGGACATCAGGCACTGCAAAACACTCCCATTTTACTGCCACCAATCTGTTCAGAGGCATCCTAATCAACTCCTGAGAGGAGCCACTAACCCTCCGAACAGGACTGTCTAAAAGTAAATCACTGCACACGACAAGGTTGAAAATGAAAAAATGCAGAGCTGCAGAAATAAAAAAAATGATTTATTGCAGAGGGTGTAGGATGAAACTTGTGCTCAACAGGTTGAAGAAGCCTCTGTCTCTTGTACTTGAAGAGAGACAGAGGAACATGTTCTACACATTGCATCATGAAATGATGAAAATAACTTAGAAAACTATCTGGTTTGAAGTAGTTTCAGAGCATATCATCAGTTGCCAGTTGTCTCACTTGGTGACAATCACCCATTTCCCCGAAATAATTTCCAAAGAAATATAACTGTGTAAAAATAATACTCTTGTAAAGGAAACAAAGTCCCAGCAGGAACTTGCCTCCATGTGACATGAACTGTCAGCCGCAGTTTCACTGACAGTTAAGGCAGCAACTCTGTGTATGTTCACGAATATACCTGCTTTCATTCAGCAGGCAAAATACGAGGCACAAGTATAAAAATTGCTTGGCTAAGTATATGTGTGTATACGTGGCTCCTAGAAGAACGTCATTAAAATACACACACACACATATATATATAAAATAACCACAAATGTAATTGAAAATATTAAATTCTTAACATGTGGCAGTAACATCTAGATCAAAAAATACATTGCCAAGAATTCTATCACCAGCGCACTCTCCTAATCTTATGTAGTACATCGAGAGCACCAGGAATGTGAAACTCCTGACAACTAAGTGAAGGAGATAGCTCAGCTAAGAGCTTTGGCACCAGGTTCCTACCATTAGGCTATAGGGATTATAGCAGACCTTGACACTGACTTTCTTTACAGAGAGGCTATCATTTCTCCAGCATGTTGACCACTCAAGCCTTTTACATTTTGCCTTTATTTCTCTGAAGGTTTTTTCTTGGAATTTACAGGCCTGCATAGCATTTAATTATCCAAAAACCCATTCCCAGGAAAGCAGAATATTTTGAGACTCTTATTTGAGAACAAAGTAGAATCTGAAGTCTAAACTCACACCCATCTACACAGCTAAACACACAGAGAACAGCTTTATTGTACCTTTTCACATAGTTGAGCCTGGAGGAGTCCCACTTCATTCTGCAAATCCTGGAAGTGATTTTGTAATGCAGTCTGGTCCCTGAGCTGGGCTTTCAAAGTCAGCACTTGTTGCTCTAATTTCTTACTGGCTATTTTATCCACCTCCATTTCTCGGGCTTCTTTGACAGTATACACAGGCTAGACAGCAAATATATAGGTTTTCAAATTAGACATAGAAAATAATAAAAATATTTTCCATCGTGGCTTTGGGTGCTAAAATTTCTCAACATGCATACTAACCTTGAATGTTGCACGTTTTTTAATCTGGCATAAACTGTATGATTTCAAAGATTCACAAACATATTAGCACTGATGTCTCACACTAATCTTAAGCCTGTTTTGGGGCAAGGGGTTCTTGATTCCCTGAAGGGGTAGGTATAGGACTGGGATTTCACAGCGCTCCTTCAAGATAAGTTTTTTTATTATAATCATTTCATACCTGGGGAAACTGGGGCACAGACAGATTAAGTGACTAACCTAAGGTCACACAGTGAGCAAGAATAGAATTCAAAAGTCCCTAGTCTCCTGCTCCAGCTTCTATATAATATTTCCCCTGGTTTTCCACATATATTTATCTCTGAGAGCAAATTCCACTCTCACAGTTAATTTTTTTGTTTTCAAACACTACATTAATCAGATTTTAAGTACAAATTTCATATTTAATACTAAGAAAAAAATATGAATTACATGAAATTAAGGTAGAGAGGTAGAGAACAAGATGATGAAGGATCTTCCGCATTTAACTCGTGCTCTCCAACTCTATTTTTTTCCACTCTGCTTTTAGTCAGAGCTTTAGATTTATGGCCAGTGTCACTAGGTCAGCTCCTGGAAGTGACATTATCGGGTTAAATGTAGTCTAAGAATGAGGAAAATCTATGGGAAAAGCAAGCCTTGCAAAAACAAGTTGTTATTTTGCCCTTATATTAACAACAACAAAAAAAAGAAAACTGAAAGACACAGCTGCTCAAGCTTTGCTGTAATATATTATATCCATAAAGCTAAGATTACTGCAATTCAGCAATTAAACTAAAAAAATCTAATCAGATATATGATACACTGCAGTAAAATAATGTAACCTTCTAACAAATGATGCAAGCTCCTTTGATGTGAATGGATATTAACACTGGTGGACCTTGCAGAAGTGCTACTGTTCCAGTAGATGCACAACAACTGTTTATGTTAACCTGGCTGTGGAAAAATCTCCAAGTTTGATACCCTTGGTGACCACAATATACTAAAGTACCCAATTCACAGAAAACAGCAAACTGAAGTGACACCACATTGATTCTAACACAGATTTTCATTTTGCATTTCTTAATGAAACAAATACTCTGTACATGGTGTTTTAAGGCCAGAGCATGCTTTCTATCAAAATTTTGGCTCCCTCTTGTGTTAATAGAAATAACAATAACAACTGTTGGACACATTAGAATTGACTACATCAGAGTTGCACTGACAGCTCAAGACAGTATTTTCCTCATTCTTTTCATCCCTACACAAAGTCCAAGGGAGGGAAAACCAAAAAAGGAAACACTTCTTGACTGATGAGTCTAAATGAAAAGATGTAGAAAAAAAATTGCTTGAAGTTTAAAGACAGACTCTCTATTCCCCCTTTTGGATTTTGCTGACCTACCAACACATTTTTGTAGTTCCAATAAATAAATAAATTTATAAATTAAAATAAATAAATAAATAAATGTCAGTAGTCTGGGTTTTGCTTGGCCTAGCAACTCATTTACTGAACACATTTGATCCAGAATTCTTGGATTGATTTTCAAATCTGAAGAACAATAACCTCCTTCCTCCCTGCTCATCCACATACATTTCTCAACCCCTACCGGAATACTGCAATACAGAAAGTCAACTGAGTATCCCAGAAGATTTCCACAAATATTCCTATGTTAAATGATGCTTCCTATGTGAGCAACACCAGCGAAAGAGTCCCAGCAGTAAATCTGCAGTATATTATATCAATTCTCTTTTACTTGCAATGTGTAATATCAGCACTTGGGAGTTTCAGACAAGAAATAGGATTCCTTGGTGTCAGGAGCTGTAGAACATAATGTATTTTTCTTTATCTAGAAAAAATTAGGTCACATCTTAAGGATTTCACACCAACCCACGACTAACAGTTTGATGTTTATTAACAGGATTATTTTAAAAAACAAACACTGAAACAAAGTCATACTCTTTGCTCCAGTATTCCCACTCTATTTCCTATCTGTGATCTAATTTGCTTAATTTTGCCAATAAAATCAACTGCCTTTGGTAAAGATATCATGCCAAATTTGGTCTTATATCATACCAAATAATTAATAGTAGTATCAAGTATTGTAACTGAAAGACAAACCCAGTTCTCTGTTGCACACACGCTGCATCTTTAGCACCAGAATGTGTGTGTTTAAGGAAAGAATTTTAAATCTACCTACAATAAAGGTTTTAAATTGGACAAATAATTATATATTACGTATACTAGTGATTAAAAGAAAAGCCATAAAATGAAAAATTTAGTTACTGAAATGATTTTAAAGGGATTTCTCAAAAGAAAAGCTGGCCTAACCTGACTGCAGTATACAAATATTCTGTTAAGATTAATGACTGATTCATAAATAATACCTTAATGGTCACCAAAAAATAATGCCCCAAATTGTCTCCACATAAAAGCGTTTATCCCCATTACCCAAAGAGGCTCTGGAAAGCTTACATGCTTTATGCACCAAAACATCATGATACACTTAGGTTTGTTTTAAAACACTCAGATTTCTTCTTCTTACATGAAATTAAATTCACAAAGCTTTGAGATGCTACATTGCAATGCACCATTTTGAGATTAAGAAGTTTGTTTTTCATTTTCAGGCAGTGGTCAGAAATCTGTTGCCCAAATATCAGTATCTAGTGCCATTTAAACTGCACAAAACAATCTGAGATAAGAGTGTGGGACTTGCAGATGGTCCAGAGAAGTCTCTGCCTTCAGCAGGCATCAATAAGGAACTAAAATGGTATGAACAGTGATTTGTTATTTTCATTTAAAGCCTTATCTAACATGTTTTAACTAAACTTACAAATATTTAAATATTGCAGTTTGTTTCAAAACTTTTTCCCATCTTAAAAATGTTATATATTTCCTCTTTGTAGTTCTCCTGTCAAGAAGGATTGAAACATTTTTTGCAGCTAATTGAAAAGTTTTTATGAACATTTCTTCCATGAGACACTGGACTACTCAATAACTAGAAATCTTGCAATATACTTATTTCTGGTGGAAAACATGAAACCTGTACCATGACTAAAGAACCCTTTATAAGCCTATTGATTCACATCTATTGCCTTTAACAACAGGATGGACCCTGGAACCAAAATATCTTCTCCAAAGGAAGGCTTTCTTCCATGCCATTCACAACACATACCATTAATCTGCAGTGCTGCTTTCCAAGCATTTTGTCCCCAGTTTCTTGTTTAAGATGGTCTAATTCTGAAAGAACCTGTGTCAAATGTGTTTTTATTTCTTCATATCTTGTTTCTGCAAAGCCAAGCTCTTTGTACCACCTCTGAGCCTAATAGGAGGAATAAAAAAAAATAAATTACTGAAAGTAGTTGGTCTTGTAGCACTATCATTTCTCAATAGCAGTTTACACCCTTGGGATTGAGCCTGATTTCAACGTCATAAATTTTAAATTATTGCAAATTGTTTCAAGAAAATGGAATTGCACCATACATAATCATCTTATAGGAAATGAACAAGATTTTTTAAGTGCTACAGAAATATATCTAACTACAGCTAGGCAGAAAGTAGACTAGTTTTTAAATTGGTTTCTAAATTTGAAGGTATCTTGAGTACTCCAAGTACAGATAAGTGACTGAAGGTGAATGCACAAAGATCAAGCAATCAGAGAAAATGCAAAGAAGATTTTATAAAAGAGTGTATCTTGCAAAATATATTAAAAAAAGAGTAAACAAGGACACACTTTGCTTTCATTACACTTCTAAAATACATTATCCCTGCTTTTTATGCACATTAGTTGTGGTTTTGAATAAAAAAATTAGTAGATCAACTACTTGCTCAACAGCAAGCTCCTTCTATTATATTATTATTAATATATTACTCCTTCTCTCTTCTGAAACATTCTTCTAAGCAAACAGAGGAAGCTGAACAACAATAACAACAATAAAAGCATTAGAAGACTCAAGATGTTTGATCAATGCCCGTTATTACTTGAATCATCTGCATACACATAACCTTGCTGTGAAAGCAGTACATTCTGCTCAGATAAGCAGAGAGACTGATAAAAGTGGGGTGTGAAAGCCAAGATGTTACAAAAGGCATAACCCAGACAGCTTCTTTGACCAGTATTAAAATTGCAAATTTGCTTGGCACAGGCAAATAACTAGCCATCCAAAAAGTAGTTTCCAGATAGATAATGCAAAACTTCATCTTTACTAAACAACCGTCAAGAAAAGAAGGGGCTAGATGCGTGCTATGAGTTATCACTGGATATTGCAAAATCCTTTGATAGTGTCAGATTTTACATCATTTTGCGTCTCATTCATACTTCCAATTCATGTTTGCCGTAACCCTCAATGCTACTACTCTTCTCAGAAATTCAAGAAATTCATCCCTAGTGAAAAGAAGCAGTCTGCCCAGAAATGACCAGGATGAATCCTTCAAGCAGCGTGTCTTTATCAAGCACTTCGCTTCCACTCCGAACATGCTGAAGGAATGCAATTTCACCTCAAATTCAGGCCAACAATAATGGACTACATAATTCCTCACCTAACTGAGAGGTTAAAGAAATAAACTTCGGGCCCGCAGATCAGGGACTTCTCCCTTACTAACAGTTTTGAATCCTGACAAGAATGACCATGTAAGAAAATAAGGGAAAAACGCAAATTTGCTTCTGAGAAATGTATCACAGTAGAAGGTTACCTCATTTTTTGATGTTTCTAATTCCTTTTGTTGCTTTTTTAGTTGCTCTTTCACTCTTTCCAGTTCTTCTTTCATCACATTGTAGCTTTGGAATGTGCTTCCCTAGTTAGATGATGGAAGACACTATGACTCTTCTCAGGCGCAAAAAGAGCACATAGATTTTCTACAGAATATTATATATATGAATTAATGCTTATCTGAAAATATTTATGACAATTATTCTTTACTCATTTGCCTCCTCTTTCAAAGTTAACTTAAGCAAGTTAGATCTACAGAACACCGGAGGTTACAGCATTTTTTATATTCCAAAGTTAATTTAACTCGGCTCGCCCAATGGCATTCAAATCTCTCCTTTTCTTTAAAAGATTCTTAATAATATTCCTTATTGTTACCATTTACCTCTTTTCTGGTGAAATAGTTTGAAGGACCTACAATAGAATTTCCTTTTTCTTCAGTCTGAGTTCCACTACATGACATTTCAACTTTCTTCAGCTTAATAACATGTTGACTTGTATTTTCTTCTTTTAATTCTACTGTCTTTTCCTTTGCTCCCATATTTTTATATTTTCTCAGAACTTCATAGGTGAAACCCAGTGATGACATTATTTCTTTCAATTCGTTATTTTCTAAAACTAAATTTGCATTTGCTTTCTCAAGTTCTAGAAGCTGTTCTGAAGTTTCTCTATAGATTTTATCTGCATCTCTTTTCAGTGCACATTTTTCCTCTTGTAATTCAGAAATTGTTCGATAACAGTTGGTTTTATACTCCTGAAGCTCTGAAACCAAGGTCTTGCATTTCTCTTGTTCACTCTCTATTTCTCCCAAACGTCCTAATAAAGCTTCTTTTTCACCTTCTAGAAGAGAGATTCTTTCCAAATTTTTCTCTCTCTCTTGTGCTAACGCATTATTTTTTGCTACATAGTTCTCCTTGTCTTGCACTAGTTCATCTATGTCTTTGAAATATCTATTTCTTTCCTCTTTCAAGTCAGAAAGCAGCTGGAAATATCTCTTTTTCCTTTCATGCAGGGATAAAACACTCTTGGAAAGTTTATCTGATTCCATCTGAAACAATTCCACTCCACAATTCCCACTTTTTTCTTCAGCCCATGAAAGGTTCTCAGGAAAGGCTTCAGCACAAATTGTTTCTGGGTTCGTGGTGTTTTCTTCTGAAATAGTATTAAAACATTTACCAGTAATTTCTTTCTCATTAAGTAATTTTTTGAAAGAAACAGTAGCTTCATCTACTGCTAAAATATATTGAAAATATGCATCCATTTCCTTTGTCAGTGCACATATCTTCTGAGCATATCTCTCATTCTCCTCTTGTAACATACACACTTTTATGGAATATTTTTCATTCTCTTGCACCAGTAGAAATATCCTCTGAGAACACAGGGCCACCACTTCTTGTAAGTCACATATTTTCACATTAAATTCATTATCAGCTTCCAGTGACAATACATGGTGGAAATAGTCATAAGAATTTCTCTCCAGCAATAACAATTTTGTTAAGTGCATATTCCTGTCTTGCACCAGGCAGGAAATGTTTACTGGATATTTCTCTTCCTCCAAGCCAGGAGCTTTCTGAAGGTGTGCACGTTGCAATCTTCTAGCAGCCATTCGTTGGCAGGGGGAATTCTCCTCTTTTGAATCACACAGCTTCAAGGCCTCTTCCTTCTTTTCTTCCAGCCCGTTTTTGGAGGGATTTATTTGTACAGTTGGTTTCTGAGGTTGATCTCCTTTCTCTTCTGTTCTGGTTCCACTGTATACCCTATTCACTTCATCAGAGATGCAGATTTCTGAGAGGTCTCCTTGTTTCTCTGTTAATTCAGAATTCCCTTCAGAATGTTTCTTCAGGGCTTTAAAATCATACGTTTTAGTGCATGTGCTTTCAACATCTTGTGCACTACCTTGATTGCCTCTGGAATACATTCCTCGTTTTCCAGGCTCAATCATTTCAGTTTTATTCACAGTTTTGCTTATATCCTCAAGGACACATATCATCTGGGCTTTTTCATTCTTCATTTCTTCTCCTTTAGCTCTCCCCCTAATGTTTTTCTGTTCATACTTTCTATTGTTAACATCTTTACCCCATTTTTTATTTTCATCCTTGTCTTCTGGCAGAATTTGCTTATTTTGCTGATGCCTTTCCACATCATGTTTTTCTAGCAGAAATGTGAAAGCAGTGCATGGCATCTTTCCATGAACTGTAGAAGCCTCATCTGTAAAGTCTTTTTCTTCTGCCCCATCAGGCAGCATAGGTTGGGCCTTAAACAGAGAGGAATTTTCTTCAACTATGGTGTCCTTATTTATCTCATTATTAGTTAGCTTCTCAGAGTAAGGAGGAAGCAGTCTGGATGTAGGACAGGTTGGGATATGTCTAAACGGAATGAAAGCATCTTCTGGAGCATCTTTCCTTATATCCTCAAGGCTGATCTGGTAACAAGAGAGAAAGGTCTCAGAATCTCAGGTCTCCTTCTATGGAACAATATATCTTTTTTTACATCACCCATTATATATTTGACTACACATATGCTTTATTTAATGAGAAAAAATAATTTAGGATATATAACTTTCAAATAATTAAAGCAAGTTTCTAATAAAGATTTATAACAAGAGTAATATCACAAGGTACAAGTAATTTTTTTTTAGTGTACTTATCTTTTAGTTTACTTACTTCTTTTAGTGTACTTTAGTGTACTTATCTTCCTCTTGAATAACACCTTTAGTAGATATGATGTCACGCTATTTTCATATACAAATGTATAGACATACATCAGCTCTGCATTTTATCTCACAATCCATAGATTTGCCACTCTCACAAAGATAACAAGAATGCTAGTAATTTTTCTTCTCACCTGTTCAGTCTCAGTTAGACTCAGTTCCTCAGCAATTGCTGCAGGGGAACTAAAATTGTGCTCCAAAAGTGGTTGAAGTTCTTTCGATAATGTCTCCGTGTGCTCAAGCCAATCACAACCACATCCTGATGTTTCTGTTATAGTAAAGCACTAAGTAATTGAAATGCTACTGACAGAAAGTTACATGAGAAACAAAAACAAAACCATCTGGCCTGAAATCTTAGAACAAGACATGTTTTAATCATATAGCAAGCCCACAAGTACCATTTCTAGCAGCAGAAAAAAAATACTTTCTCTAGTATTACAAAATGTGTGACGATAAGCACTATAAGATTAAAGATCACACAATGTATAAGAAAACAAACTCTAAATATGTTATACCTTTTTTTGTTTTATCCACACTTAACACTTTACAAATGGAAAATAAAACTCATTATAGAGGGGAGAGGAAAACTTACCGGTTAAACTTACAGGCTTAAAAAATATTCAGTGCTGGTCTGGCATTTGCAACCACTGAAATCTGCTATAAAATTTCTACTAATTTCACCAGGAAGAATTAGATCGATAGAATGTGTTGACATCAGAACTTCTGTATTACATTTAGTCTAAAAGAGCCGAGGTGCACAACAGTCCCAAACACTGTACTACAGCACTGTCTAGGTCAAGACACTTAGGGTACATCCCCTACTTATACATCTCTGTAGCTTCTTGTAAGTTCATACCAGCCTCCTGAGTATGTAGCAGCACAGTTGGAGTTTGTGTAGCCTTGCTTCTGAATGGATCCAAGACTGATTCCTGTTTCAGGTTTTGAAGGTCATTCTGCACTAGCTCTCCATTCTTAACAGGAAAAGGAAGAGGAAAATAAAAAACAGATTATAAGCGTATAGAGCTTATAAGTGTTTCACAAACAGGCATAGAAATGTCCTCTGCTATTTTACATTCAAAACATGCATTAATTTGTTATAAATGCTATTAGGTCATACAATTTTCCCATTCACAAATATGTAGGGAAGAAAATCTCAGTATTACACATGTATTATGTTACAGATGGAAAAATAGCAGGGAAGAAATTAAAAGATAGGACCATGAGCAAAGATTATAAAAGTCCCACTGCAAAGGCAAAAGGATGACTGTACCTACAGAGGAAAAGTGCTATGCAAAAAGTAAAATAATCCTTCAGAATAAGATTTTCTGATCCATAAATTAGCTATAAATTTCATATTGTGTTTCTTGACATTTTTATTTGCTCATTGTTTGCGTTTGGATACACTTAGAAACTGATAAATTAAGTGCCTGATAAATTACGACAGACACAGACAAATGCTATCAGTTCCTTTTTGTTTGTATTTTTCACTCAGGCATAGACTGCAACTGGCATACTCCAGATCTGACCTTGCTGCCAATTTTGGAAACTAATTTCCAACAAGATTTATGTGATTAAACCTCTCCATGACATACAGTTCACTTCTGCAGGACCAGAGCATGACATCTAATTGTATCTAGTAATAATTCACGAAAACACAATTATGACTAAGGCTCCTTCCAAAAATAACTGATGTGCTTGTCACTTTAATGACATGGTATTTTCTAAGGAATTTCATACCATGTGTATTCACAGGGGTCTAATAATCCTGTATTCACAAGCTACTTACTTCCTGGCTCTAGAACAGACAAATGTTCCCACTCATTCTTTTAGTGAAAATTGATATCTATGCAGAAAGTATCAGCATGAAAATCCCCCTTAGACTGCACACTGGTCTTCATTTTTATAGCTGCTTGTGGAGAATGGTGAGCTTAAATAGGATGTTTCTTGCAAATGGTTTGAATACTACAAGACCAATGTAATGAGATTATTGGTGATGGTGATACTAAAATACAGGATAAGGCGGAAAAACCTCTTCATTTTTACCATACAACACCAGAGGTCTCCCTTCTCCTTTTAGTGTGGATATTCTATTTTTTTCTTTCTTTCTTATGCTCTCAAAGCACTGTTTTTTTTTTGCTAGAATAAGTGAGAAGTGAATCACAGCAGCAGCAAAACAGGAAGAAAATACAACCAGCAATGAAGAAAACAAGATCTGCTCCCGGTGACCTTATGAACTGCAAAACTAGGCATAAGAATAAAATATACTGGTTTAACAGGAATTATGGCATGCTGCCTTACACCAAAAACTGGGTAATTCTGATCGAGAGTCCTCCTATGGTGATAGGTCTGCATATGAATACTTGAAGAAATAAATAGTTTTTAAACTTCAGGAAGATGAAAGAATAACTTTTCATTGGTTAGAATCAGGATAGAATGAAACAGATGTGGCCTCCATTCCTTTGGTTTCCTGAAGACTTTCTGGGTTAGTTTTCAGCAATGTCGGCAAGATGGTGTACCTTGTTTTCTCACTTTCAGATAATTCATTACTTATTCTACTTGATTTCCCAAAACCTTCAGTAATTCTCAACTAGCTACTCTTCTGCTCTACGTCTGGAAGCCCTCACACTCCTCAGTTTAGCAGTCCCCTCACAGTGCAGTTGGTCACTGCTCCCATGTGAAATTTAAGATGAGCTTGTGCTATTTTCACACTTTTTTTTTTTTTTTTTTTTTTTTTTTTTTTTTAATATACCCAAGCAGTTATGGAGAAAAACATGGTGAGAGAAACTTGCTTAGATTTCAGTGAAGGGCTACTGTTGGAGGATCTTAGTGTGCTGCTTCTTACATGGAAAGATAACCTTACAGAGCTCACTTCTTTGGTACTAGAATACAGAACCACAAATGGTAGGGAATCATTTTTGCCCAGAAACCTGACTTCAAGTGCCAGGTTAGAAACTTTGTCTTGATTTTTTCTAGGCTTTTATAGTCAAAGGATGCACTCCCAGTGCTGAGAACTCAGTGTGACTAAGAGTACTAAATGCTTTTTTCACATGCTCATTATCTCCGAGTCAGCTGACTTTAAAAAACATGTAGAGACCTTGGGATACCAGGTCACATGGAATAGGGCAGCTAAGAATGATGCCTAGCTGATTTTCCTTTATTTAACAAATCTTTAGAAGAAAAATAGCCCCTCGCCCTAGAGCATAAAGAATAAAACTCTGTTTGAGGCTGCTCTGTGAAATAAATTGTTCTTTGTCAACAAAATGCATTGGCAGAAGCTGAATGTCGTGTTAGAGTCTATGCAGAGCTTTCCCATGCCATGCTGATGCAAAGTATTTGAAGCAAACAAGTTCTATTCATCATATTCAGAGCACATCATAACATTGTAGAGCCACGAACCATGGAATATCTCAACATGCTGCCAGTCACGGATACTGTACCCATTTTCTCTTCCATCACCCAGAAAATCTCATAGACAAAATTTACTGTCAGTTATCCTTTTTTCTTTAGCATCCATGCATGAATGAGATGTTAAAACTTCACCCAGCCAAATGTGCACTCCTGTTCTGAACAGCATCCTTGAGGCAGAGGTTTCAAAAGTTCTGGCTTCCACTTCTGGCGGTAACCCAGATCTCTGGCCTGGGGCAATTCATGTAAAATCCTAAGGAACCAAGATTTACGAAGTGCCCCAAATGTGGGCCTACTCAGAAGCCTACTCAGATATAAAAAAAGCCTATCACCAATTTCAGTGATCTTTTGTTGAATCGGACTCTACTGAGTTGTAGTATGTCAAGAGAAGTATAAGAAACAAATGCTATTTGTTTCCTGTAATAATAGGGTAATAAACACACACTTCCATCACATACATACATACATACAAGTGTAAGCCATGATGATATAGAGATGAAGGTTAACTATACTTTACCTTAAATTTTACTTACCAGGTCCACACTGACTGCAATGTTTTCTCCATTCTCCAGCCCTGTAAGGCATGAGTCTTTTTTACTTTCCTTTAACTTCACAACTCCTTGGTCCCTTAAAGCCCTATTTTCATCCAAAAGCTCTTTGACCTGTTCCTGTAGTTTGATTTCAGATAATTTCAGATCATAAACACGTTGGCAAGATTCCTCCAATTTCCTTCTGAGAAATTCTTCAGAGTCCTCAGAGCACTGCAATTTAGTGAGCAAGTTTGCCTCTTCTCTTCTCCTGTCTTCCTCTGTTTCCCTTAAAAGCTTCAGATCATGCTGCAATGTCTCACGGTGGCTTTTCATGTCATGCTCCACAATTTCAATTAAAGTTTTCAATTTCATTACCTCCCCATCACAGTGAGTCATACTGAAGGCTGATTCCAGCTTCTGTTGCAGATACTGGACCATTCCCTCTTCTAAGTTGGATGTCAGAAGAGCAACATGGGCGCTGAGATCTAGGACTTGCTTTTCCAGCCTAGATACACTACCCTGCAGGTAGCATTCCCTTTCTTTCAGCACTGCTATCTGTTGCTTCTGCCTCTGTTTGTAGTGTTCAAAATAGTCCGACTGGCTTTTTACTTCACTTTCTTTTGTCTTCAACTGCTCCTGAAGCCAAAGTATTTTTTCCTTTTGCTTCTTCTCTGCCTTTTCTTGGATTTCAACCTACAATTTTAGTGATTTTTATGGTTACTTAATTATCAGTCCAAATTTCTTCATCTTTCTTAATTTTGCTTCATTCAGCTAACATAAGTAGAAAGTTTAAAAAGCTAGTAAAACCTGGCATTCAGAGTAAAACTAACCTGCTTTTTTTGGCACTTCAGACACAACATAAACATTTCAGTAGAAAACAAACAACAAAAAAAGAGCATGTCTGTTACTACACAAAATACAGAAAGCTTCAAAATACTTTCTTTTTATTTTTTACAGTGCTTATTAAAACAAAAATAAATTTTGGACTGAAATCCACACAATCAGCTCCAAACTACACAGTAACATATCCTTAAAACTGTTATTTCTTTGGCACGTCAGGTCAACCTTTTCAACCGCCAATATTTTCCTACCAGAAGTGTTGACCAGCAAGAACAAAATGAAAACTAGGCTAAAATGTAGCACAGTATCAGGCAGTCAGGAGTAGATAGCTTGGATGGTTTAACAACTGCTAATTGGAATATATGAATTACCAAGCTTCTTGTATTGAAAAAAACTTATTCCACATCTTTATTATGAAAACAAAGCCTATTACTTGTAGTCATGACTCATACCACATGGGACTAAGGTGTCCTGTCACAATTTTGACATACAACATTGAGAAATGAAAGTGTATTTTACGATGAACAGAATCAAAAAAAGTTGTTTAACTGTAGACTGATGGACAAAAAAAACTATACCTGAAGAACTTTAACTCCTTTCCATTTAAAAATGGAAAATGGGGTCCATCCACTGAGCTTTACAAACAAGCTTTCCAAAACTAAGTAGAAAACTTAAATCTGATGCAACAGCTGGTAGGGGCCAGCTTGAAAACAAGTGAGCAACTCAAGAATCAGGTGACAGGTCGAGCAGCTGCATTTTGTGTAGAAAACAGGCTGCAACAGTTGTGTTGCATATGGTAGGGAACCAAAGATGTGCTTCACAGGGGAGCTACAAAAGCGAACTCTGACTTGGAGAAGGAATAGACTGGCTTGAATACGAGCAAAGGAAGGAAGTGTGAGTGTACAATCGCAAAGTTCAATGACATGGAAAAGGGGTATATTAGAAATGCCATCAAAATCATTACAGAAATTGGGGCAACAAAGACAGAAAGCTTTTCTGATTCCCCCAACCTTACAAAAACATGAAGCCTGGGCCTAAAAACAGACCAGTTAGTGGACATGAGATTAGGTGCTCTTTATGGCAATAGCATAAAACTAGGTCATTTGCAGCAGCATCCTTCTTACCAAGTGCATGAGCTCCTCCCGAGTGTCACGCATCTTCCCTTTAACCCGCACATTTTCATTTTCAGCCTCATGTACCTTCATGTTTAATTGGTCAGTTGTCACCAGAAGTGTTTGGTTTGACAGTTCCAGCTCTTTAACCCTGTGATATTGAGAATACAGACCTTGGCTGAGTTAAAATTGCACAGTATGGTTCCAGATTAGTCATCAGAGATGCACTGATTTAATTTTATTTTTTCATTTTTCTCCCAACAATAAAATAGTGACAAATCATAGATCACTGATAATGAAGATATTATTAACAATAGTCTACTGAGCTTTGCAAATTACACTGGAGACTCTCAAACCTTTAAAGACCATGTCTATGGCTCATTCTCTCACTGACACAGAACTGAACGTAAGAGAAGGCCTTAATATGAAAATGATAAGAATAGGGTCCACTGAAGTTTAGCATGTGATATGAAGCAACATATCACACATACACATATGTGTATAACTCAGACAATCTCCTTCTCTTTTCACCCTGCACATCAAAAATTTCTCAATGGTTTAAACTCAAAAACATCCTCTTCTTCCTGTTAGGGAAAAATTGTTTTCCAGTCCTTTTACCTCCTATTGCAGCAGCTACTACAGCCTTCTCTTTTCTCATCTGACAGACGAATTCATTCCCACCTCTGCACTCCAAAGCTGTGCTCTACATTCTCATTCCTTGGGTTTCTTTGTTCAACCTCCAATAATCTCCCCATCCTCTTCTCAGTTCCATCTTCTAGCTTTGCCTCAGCACCCCTACCTGCCAAACTCTTCAGATGCTTCCTTTCCAGCTCCCAGGAAGGGACCACTCCGTTCACTCAAAATCTCACATAAAAACAATTATTTGCAAGAGACACTTATATTCCCTATCCCTTTATCTATTTAACTTCATTTAGACTATTTAGACTAGTGCTATCCCTCGACATCAAAAACCTGATCTTGTTATTCTATTCGTCTGCATAATTAATACCTAATGGTACTTCTAACTTTTGTTTAGGATCAACATACTAAACCATATGCAACTTTCTGAAACCAAGACTTCCTTTGCAATACAAAACTCAAAGTGTGAAGAGAATTGTATCTTATTCCCGAAATAACACTTAAAAAAAACATCTATTTTACAAGCAGAATTTACACATGACTATTTATGAAACATTCTGAGACATCCTTCTGGTTCTTTTCTACAAGATTTTAGACAATGCTGTTAATCTCATTTAAATAACAAAAAAGATTATTGTATTTCTGTTTTGACATCTACACAGAACATTTATAAGTTATCTTACAGGTCACTCTAAAAATCCATGAAGCCTTTCCTTTTGCTAGGTCTGCATGGGTCACTCAATGTTTTGACATCCAGTAAAGAGACAAATGGAATTGTATATGTGCCACGTCGCAGAAATTTGAAACATACAATAAACTATATTTACCTATTTCTTAATGCAGAATCTGATTCCGTGTATTCTTCTAAAATGTTTTTCAGTTTTTGCTCTGACTCTTCCAGCTCTCTTATTCGGAGGTTCAACTTCTCTACTTCAGCACTGTTTACATCTCTGTCAGGTATACTTGCATCTTCTAATTCCTGCAAAATCCAAGAAGCATCTATTTTAACATTAAAATTAAGAATATCATATTCTTCATCACTGGACATTTTAATAGAGTAGCAGATTTTTTTCTCTCTCTCAGATGAAGCATCCATGATGATAAAACGAAACTAAATTCTCAATGTATTGCAGTTCAAGCATGTTATCTTAGCCTTGCTGATGATCAAATGAACAACCTTTTGTGATACCCAACATATTCATTATTCATGAAAGAGTCTCATTTCATTAGCCAAAAAGTAGTTTACCATGCATGAAAGAAGTCTCAGTTTACAACCTGAGATCCCCATAAAGAATACAGTTATGCAAGTTCATCAACAAATTAGCTATGAAAGTTTTGAAAAGTAAGATAAGTTCCTACTAAATATAGAAAATAATAAAAACTGTATTTTTATCACAAAAAAAAAACCCCACTATTTCTTTTGGGTAAATTATATCACATATCCAGTTCTGAAACATAAAAACAAAAAGTGTTATTCCTTAGTTCAGAAGACAATCTATGACTGTCTCAAAGACATATTCAATATATTTAACTGATATATTACTATTCTCAATTAAATAATTTATGGTAAGGTCTATTTCACCATTATGTCATGCCCCAAAGGAATTTTTAAAAACAGAATGTTATGATAAAATGATTTCTCCTTCATCATACATGTTAATGCCACAATGCAAGATCTCTACCCTTGTGATCCAATAAGCCTATATATTTCACAGAATCACAGAATGGTTAAGGTTGGAAGGGACCTCTAGAGATATGTAGTGAATACTTGAGCATAAAACCAGGAAAGCATTTACACAACATGCTAAATACAGGAAGCTCAAATAAACCAGGCTATATATTTTGTTGGCTGCTTGGCAGAATCAAATGCAACATACCTAGTAAAATATGCTAGTTTAAGATCAGAATTCTGACATATAGATAGGCTATAAGACACTGATAACAACGAAAAAAAGCAATAATAAATTTGTTTTTTCCTTTATATATATATTTTAAAGTATTACAAACTTTGTAGAAGTACCTGATAGAGAAAAGGCTTCTCTTATCTAAGGACATTTAGATGAGGAAGATTTATCTAAAATGGCATTCTCAAATTACTGGTTAAACAAGTCCTGGTCCATTGCCATAATTAATGCATTTACAAGGAGGCAAATTACATGGATGTTATATTTTTGAAGAAAATAACGGCTCTTGCACTCATTAGTGGGCTAGTGCAATAGAAACTAGAGCATTCCATCTTCTGCCCTTGAAGACAAGAAAAAATAAATGTCTGGTAGGTAACTGTTACAATTGATCTCAGAAATCAGAATCTTACTCTTTTATATCTTTGCTTATAGAACTGGGAGAGATAAATCAAAATCTGTGTCACAGAAAGTGATAAGTGTCACATTTTGCAGATTGAATATAGTCAGCTAACATGTGATAAGTGTTCTCAGTTTTATAATAAACACCAACATGCAATGGTAAGTAAGATTAGAGCAAAATAATCAGTTTTCAAAACCTGCAAATCTTGAAGAACCTAAACATGAATCTCATAGAAAACAAAACCAGGAGAATCAGCTGTGTCTTTAAGAAAACCATCACTTGTGAACTACAATGTAAGAAAAAAATATGCAAAAACAAGAGAACAAAACTATTCATACCTCTGTAACGAGACCAGCTCACGTCTTTGCACGGCGCTTACCATGGCAGCTACTTGCTGAATGATCACTGTGTTTGTGCTTAGAGATTCTTTTCCAATGATAAGTAAAACTAAGTCTATGAAAATATGGAATGTCTGTTTCTTTGCCATATGAAACACATTTTCCAACGTTTGTTCCTTCATCAGCACCTGGTTTGGGTATCCAAAACTCTAAACTCTTTCTTTTCAGAAAAATGCCAAGTTCTTTCTGCAAAGAAGATCTCCTTTTCTCCACATTCTGTCATCATGCTGCTAAAAGCTTCAACTGAAACATGAACAATCCATGTTTAGGAATACACTCTCCAAATGTTCACTTCTTTGGAACAACGTATTGTGAGCCACACATTCTTTTCGGGATACAGTTTCCTAACTTTTGCATGATCCTTATGATTTGCTTGATACTTTCTAATTTAAATTGTGCTTTGTGTCAAGAAACAGGTTTACTCAAACACTCACATGGGCCACAGTTTGCTGCATAGGACTGAATTAGTTTTGTGGTTTGTCTGCTCCTTCAGCAGATTAATGACCTTGCCCAGCAATTCCTCATGAAGAGCAAATCTGTGAACACACCTCACAGCCTAAACAATTATTTGAGAACTACTTTTTTTTTTTTTTTTTTAAATTCACCTCCAACAGTGAGATAGCCAGTTGCTATGAAAAATCTTTCTTGCTTTGTTCTGCCTTGATTGATCTTGGTCTATTTTTTTTTTTTTTTTCAATTATACTCTCCATCTTCTCTTATATATTATCCTGTCTTATTCAAGTTGGAGTTCAGTGGATTGGATATGTTGTTCTATAGTACTCTACATAGCCCTTTTAACACACAAATCATTTTCAAGAAAACTCGATGGAGGAGAAATTTATCTATAGATAGTGTGCTATAGTTATCTTCATCATTCCCCAATATGCTTGAAATAATAACAAATACCAATTTCTTCAATTGTCTTTCCAGCTCTGAAAGAGTATCTAACTTTTCTCTCTTTAAAAGAAAAAAAGTGTCATTTTATTGATTTTACTAACCATTCTCCATCTTAAACAAATCTTTTCAACTTCCAATTTTTCAGTCTGTGCTTCACCCCAAATTTGGTTTATGGTGCAGGTGGTCAATGTCCATGACCGTGGTACCTCTGCTTGGTGAGCTCTTGCCAAGTTTACTTCAAGACATCAACATTTGTATGTTTCACTTGAGAGGATATCATCTTTTCCTCAGTATTTCTTTTCAAATATATCTCTGCTCATCACATACTACCTACACAGCAATTCCTGTGTCTTCAAGCTTCTCTTTCTTCTTGAAGAGATGATTGACCACATGTATTCTGTTTTTCTGACCTTTCACTCCACCTCAAGATCTTTCATTCTCCCAGTGACACTTTTACAAGTTGTTGCCTACATTTTCAAAAGACATTGAGAATACCATTCTCCAGTGCAGCTCCTACTCGCTTGAAAGCTTGCTTAATCCAATCTCTCATCTTCCCTTTCCACGGAGCCAAAACCTCTCTCCATCTGTGGATTTCCAACTTATATATTTAATATGAAATTTATCACTGTGGGATTCTAAATTTCTATGTGCTTCAACTTCAAACAGTTTTTTTTTTCTTGTCAGCTATTTACTATAGAGAATTCATTGCCAAACATCTAGCTTTTTAAAGAGATATTAAAAAGGAGGTTCTGTGTTTCCTGGGTGAAATACAAACCACATTTGTTGAAAGCATGCAGTATGAAGACGGAGATCTCAGTACTGTAATAAAACCATTTGGTAGATAATAGTTCACACAGCAGCTATAATTGCACTTGATTTTTTCTCCAGTGTTTGATTGGTGTGCGAGTGCAAATTCCATTTTGATTTTTTTTTCCCCGTGTTTATGAGGTGCCGGTCCTTATTTGATTATCGTATCATTCCAGCTTGAAGCGATATCTTTTTAAAAACTTATAATTTTAAATTAAAATGTCTTGCAGCTTGAAGTATTATGCAAACCATTTTTAGAAAAAATGCACCAATTTAAAGCTGCTCAAATAAATATTTTCTATTTTTGCACGTGGACTCAGCTGTTCACTCCACAGGCTCTTTTAATATCCTGTAGAAACAAAAAAAAAAAAAAATCAAAGAAACCTGCTCAGTTTTAGACTGATAACATTTACTTAGAAACAAATCTTCAAAATTACAAGATCAAGGTTACCATCACTGAACACGCTATTTACCCTTTAATAACCAGCAATGTGCAGGATTTCAACTAATAAGTAACTATACATAAGTCTTTTAACATAGGCTTTATAATGTTAATCAACATTATAGATTTAACAGATTTAACTGATGAAACAAGATGAATTAAGGGAACTTGCTCCATGTTGGCACCACAATATATGTGCATTCCGGAAATTGAGAGAATTGAGTCATTTGTGACTCAATTTGTGAGAACTGAGCCATTTTATGTTGGTTTGTGGCACTTACGGGATGACTTTTTTGGGGAAAAAAACATTACAAAATGCTAGTCATCCCGTTATCCTGTATGTCTGAAGGTAGGCTCATACAGCAATACTCAATTTTCAGACCAAATGTATCTGTTCTGCAGAACCATAGAGGCACTCATGGCATTCAAGGCAGGCAGTATCCAAGAACGCAAAGTAATTTCTAGTTGGGAGCCTGATGACCTTTGGCAGAAGCCTAAGAAGGTACCTTAAATATCCAGACTGAATTTTATAGTTGGTCTTCATCTTAATGTTAGCAAAAGCACTGCACCCTTCCCTATCTTTTCAGGGTCTTATAAAGGTTATTCTCAAAGCAGGACAAAAATTAAAGAGCTAAAAATTAAGTACAAAGAAATATAAAGAATACAAACCACACTTCTTGGCTCAGTTGCATCATCAAGGCCACAGAATGAATGCTAGTGAAAAAAACAAAAAAAGGAACAAAAACTATAAAATAAGATCAAAAGAAAATGAGGAAAGAAGAAAAGAAAAAAGATATAAGATATGTAATATGAAATTCAATTATATTATTTTACAGCAGTTAAGTCTTACATCAATATTAATTGAGTTGATGTGGAAGAAAGATAGAGTATAGCCATCTTTTTCTGAAAAGAAGACACATAATGCAAAGTGCAGCATTTGAAGGCAGTTTTGCAAATGGTAGTATTTGAGGATTATGTAAATTCCAGAAACAATAGGCCTTGTTATCTGACTTAGTTAAGCACGCACGTGTAATTACATGCCTAAATGCTTTCCTGAACCAAGACTTACCAAGCCAAGGGCACAAACTAAATGGGACTTGAAGTGTAGAGAATCAGTTACAAGAAAAGCATGACACAAGCTGAAAGGGCACTTATTCCTCAACAAAATTGCCACTCTACACTATAGTGGCATATAGCCTTTGGAAGTAGGATTGTTGGCTGAAAAATCTCCAAATGGGCAAAACGGTGCCATTTCTATGTTCTAGCTTGACAGAATTTCACACAAAATGCACAACTTGAATTCAATCATTCATAAAGGAAAATACAAAGCTGCAATCATGCCACAGTTATTGTAAAAGTGATGCGTTGCCCTTAGTTTCGCCCAAGAGCGAGGCTCAGCTATAAAAAATTCTAGTCCTTCAAAAGTCTAAGTCTTCCTTCCGCAAGAAACTCATTTTCCTCGAAGCCACCAGCATGTAGGAATCAGTCTGCAGTCATGAACATACTAAACCTTCAAAAGAATCATGAAGGAGAACTGTGCCATTCACTGGTCCTCCAACAACACCCTCTTCCCATTTGGCTCAGAGTCATCTGTACAGGTTCACCCTGGGAGCTGGCACCCTCATTTCACCTGAGATTAGAGGACTGACCTCAGAATCTGGACTCTATTTTAGAGAAAGCAACGTAACTAAAATCCCGCTAGAGCACGGAGAACACCCCGCTGGCAGCTTGTGTGGTGCAGGCCAGCCTAAGCTCCCCAGGCCTAGGAAACGTGGAGCCACAGTCAGGGAACTTGGTGACATCTCTGGACTGGGGGTCCAGAGACCCACTTAAACATATTTGTTGTCTTAAGTCTCAGTGTCACTTCTTCAAAACTGGAGAAAATTTGTATTTAGGATGGTAATTTGAAGCTTGTTTCTGTTTAAAGCAAGAGATTTTTGATTTGCAGCATTCATCACGTGCCATAATCACTTTTTTTGAGAGACAGAGAATTTAGCAAAGGATCATCATCTAAAGACCGTTTAAATAACCACTTCTGTCCAATACAGACAAGTCTTTCTATAGTTTCTTGATTCACACCAAAACTTGGTGAAAAACCCAGCTAACAAATAATTTTGAGCAGATTACAGACCGCACTTTGTTTAATGCAGAAATCCTTTGAAATTAAATTTCATCTTTCTAGTATTGAAATAGATCTCTAAATATTAAAATATGTACTACTAGCTTGAGTGAGAAATAAGTTACTATGGAAAAATATTCATTAGCATCATCCAGGACTTTTATTTACCTTTTCCTCAATTTCTTTGAGTTGCCGCCTTTGAAGTTCTATTTTATCTTCTAGTTCTCGAATCCGCTGGGGAAAAAAAAAAAAAGAAAGAAAAAAAAGAACTTAGAATGTATTTTTTGAAAAGAATATATACCTGAAAAGATAATAGATTAAAAATGAGTACAACATTTTATTAAAATATTAATAAAAATAATAAAAAATAACACTAATTCATTATAAATGCAACACTTCCTTTACATTTATACCAGGCAAGTTCTTGGCAGGTTTGCTCCAAATTCCCACAAAACCAGGGCAACCCACGTTTACTTCCAGAAGTCTAATCGTCACTACTGCTTAATCATAACCATAATATATACACTCAGAGAAGGTCAAATAATATCACAATTCTTGCAAGTTCAACAAAACTTTTTTCTGCAACAGTCAAAAGTTTTTCCACTGTTTCCACATATGTGGACAGTCAGAAGTTCATACTATCACATTTTATTTTAACTCTCTTATCTTTCTTTCCTATAAAACACTACTATGCTTTGAGTGTATTAATGTTTCCCCAGACGAGTACACTTTGATTCCTAGACCATGACCAAAGTGTCATCCTGACACTCACCTCCACCTTTACTACCAGCATCATCTCCTGCCAAAATGGGAATATCTTCTTCACTGTAAGTCTCATTTTTAAGGACTTTCCTTTTTTGGTTCCATAAACGATCTCTGAAAACATGACTTTTTTTTTTTTCCTAGACCCACAAGTTCTTCCTTATTTCCATCCTCTTCCTTATTTACCTCCAAGAAATTATATATGATGCACATCCACACTGCAATTGCCCTTGCCTTGTGCAAGGCGCAAAGCCCCCACTGCATCTCGCTGCACTGCTGAGGTGTCCCCAGACAGTAAAGGCACACATCAGATCTCCTTCATTGACAAGACTATGTGTAGCTTTAATTGCACTTTCCTCCTGCTTTTGCATGAGTTCATACTTAATCTCCGCCCCACTCAATGCACATCTCTCTCTCTCAAGAGTTATAATTTTCATATTTGTATACAACAGGAATATTACTATCGCTCTAAGAAGCCATGCAATGAGAAACAGGCAGATGCAATCACTGCTGAGAGCTCTGATCCATCATGTTACACTCCTGCTTCCCTTCCACTCCTGCAGGCTCTGCTGATTCCTGCTTACAACCACATCCCACGTCTGAGCGACAGACTAATTCTCCGGTGGTCTTGCTACACTCCACAATAACATTTGACCATAGTGAGATAAGTGGAGAGAAAATTTTCAGCATTTTTCGGATTTGGGAATTCTTTTAATTAGGAAGAAAGAAAGAAAGAAAAAATCAAATAATATGTTATCAGTTCTTTATGTTTTTTTATCTTTTCAGAAGCCATCTCAGTAGCTCTTCAGAATAGTTCTAAAAATAAAGGCTGAGGTTTTTCACTTTTCATGCCTAGCCTGTCACAGCCCTTAAACTCTAAGACTGGTAGAGCAGAAAGTCAAGGATTAGATGGAGAAAAGAAAAGTTTGGTTTGGACTTCTTGGCTCCCACAGAACTGAACAGGCAATATGAGCAACATTAGCACAGACTAAAAACCTCCAGACGGTCATGAGGTACAAGCACGAATCTGATCAATTTTCCAGGATATCATTTTCAGAAAAAAAAAAACTTCCTTTTCACAGCATAGAAAACAATCAGTAGCTTCTGAAAGTTATGCAATAAGTGAACCACAGAATTTAGGGTAAGACTTTTGGTTAGCAGGCACCAGCTTTGTGCAGTGATACTTATATATAACAACAGAATAAGATAGTAGCAATTTAGCAAATAGTCCATCCATGCATAAGATAAGGGCATATATTCCTTCCTTAGCTTTTTAAAGAGAGCAATTAACCAAATACATCTTGTCTGAACATATGTCTAACAAATATCAAATCAGATTTTTTTTTCTCCAGCTTCCCCATCATTATATTCATCACTGCCAGTAGGTGTCTTGCACTAATTTACTAGTATTTATTCACTGTGATGAGGACAGAGGATGCCTTTATCAAGTAAGAAGATCAGGTATCTGACACTGATGGAAAGAAGGGTATCTAATATGTACCTGTTCTTTAATAAACCCTGTGATAAAACAAGAAGAACCGCCCCCCTCCAACCTTTTCTTGTTTGTTTGTTTTCCAGGTGTTAGAAAGGGTAAATATAGAAAAGAGCTTAAAGGTGATAAAATTTATGTTTTCCAAGTAATTAGTATGGAGAAAAGGACAACCTAGGAATTAAAGGGGAATACATACAGAGCTGAATTTCATAGCCGTGAAAATTTACACAAAATCTGCAAAATAACTAAATTTATGTCAGACAGGCAGATATAATCAGTAGTGAAAATACATACTGTACACAAGCACATACATACATAAAGTCATATTCTATAAGAATGATTCGCCACCTAAGGATAATATGTTGACATCACGCAACTGATTATTTAAGTAACTAGATCTCCTCTCGCCTCAATGGAAAGCACTGCTAGACCAGTGGGTCTGCTGGAGCAGAAGAACTTTTAAATTGCAAGTAGGTGAGATTTGGTAACCACCTTTTCTCTACAAGAAGTAGAGGTCAAACCTACAGAGAAGAGAGCTTGCTCTAAAATGCAGCAGCAGGCTGGAGATTTCACCCAGGTGTAATAGCTGGAGCATGTTTACACCTAGGTGTTTGTTTCCTTTCCCCTGGAGCTCCGCACGAGGATTATCCGGGAGGCTGAAGTGGGTGTCACCAGTGCAGCCAATACCCTGCGATTGCCCAGGTCAGCACTGGAAGATAACTGGCCTGGGTCAGCTATTTATATATCCTGAAAAATCTGATTTAACTCATGATATAACTCCATTTAACCAGATAAGTGACATATATACATCTATTTGCAATATATAGACCAAAAAGAGGGAGGTGGGGAAAATTCCACCTGTGCAGAGTGGCTAGCACATAAATACAACTTGCTTATTTCAGCTATATGGATTATAGAATTAGCTTGATCATACGACAAAAAAAAATCTAGAATACGATTTTTAAAAACAGATGTAAGCTACATGCAATAATCCTAGCTTTAAAACAAAAATAGCTTTCAGAAGCAGCACGAGATGCAAGAGTTTATATTAAATTACCGAGATGGAATTACATAAAAATTACATATCCTAATTAAGATCGAAAGCAGGACTGCTTGACATTTAATATAAGCATTTACAAGTCTAGCTACTGTTTCTCCTCTTGCGAGAATTAGTAATCAAGAAGCTGTGGACTCACTCTCCATTCTTCAGCAGCTGATCAGAGGCTTTCAATGAACTCTGATTTGTTTCCATTTGCAAAAGCCTAACTGTGACATTAAGCCAAGCAGAACTGTTTTAATGTTATCAACAAATTCTATCTACCCTCATCATTAAGAACATGAACTGCTAAGCAGAAGTCAAGTTTTTCCAGCTATGCAATATAAAGATGTAACATCTTTATTAAAAAAGATACATTCAGGTCCGCCCTAGGACTAAATAAGTATAAAATGAGACTAAATTCACTGGATAGATTCAGTCATGCACTGAATACAAGGCTATGTAAGGATGCAACAAAAACTCCAATATCCTCTTACCAAAACACTGAGAAATCAGGGCTTAGACACCCCACAAAAGGTAAAACTCGGGGCAGTTTTTTTTATTTGTTTATATTTCAAGCAGGGATGGACAGAAGGCAGGGGTGCACGTCTAAAATGTTTCTGTGCCGTGGTGGTTTCCTCTAAATCCCCTGGCACTGGCCAGCCTGGGAAAGGGCTCCAGGCCAAGGGGAGCAGCGCTGTGCTCAGCTCCAGCAATCCCCACAGCTCATAGCTGCCCATTCGGCACACGAGGGCACATCTGGGGACTGAACAGGTTCACGGGAACAACGCTGGGCTGCCAAGTCACGGGCTCGTACGCAGGAACTCCAGGAAAAGGGCTCGGTCGGCCCAAAACGGCGCAGCGACAACATCACCGTGGCAGAGAGGCCTACAAACGCTGGGGACGGCCCCGGCAACGCGGCTCCCGAGCGCTGCCCACCCTGCTCGCATTCAAAAAGGACCTGCACAAACAAACACTCATCTAGCAGCTGATTTCATTGCCATAGCAAAGCAGAGCTCTCCAAACCTAAGTCTGACAGACTGACAGGTTTGCGAATACCTGCCCATTTCCCACTCTTGACAAGCACTGGTCCGTCACCCACATGGGGCTCTCCTGAATTTTGGAAGGCTGGCTGGCTGATAATCCACTTCAGCATGAAAAGTGCCCACCTCATAAATTATTTTTTCCATTAGCAATGCAGGCTCCTTTTCAGACACACATACATCAGCAAAGGTACATGGCATTTGGCTTCAGCTCTCTTGAACGGTCCAGAAATGCTATCAATTAGATAAATGGGTGAGGAGAGACCCTAAAACTTAAGACAGTTAAAGCAAAAAGTTTCTTCAGATATCTGTAATGTAAAGAGAGGCAAATGGGTGAAAGTCTGTTAAAGCACAACTAACACTGCAGCACTGTAACATTATTTCAGTGAGCAGAGCCATAAGAAGGAAATCTAGCATCAGTTATTTCCAGTTTTATGAAGACAGCTCACTGGTGGTGATGATCACACATTGTCCCTTCTCTCCAATCTCATGTTTGTTTTGCAGAACCAAAATGCCTGTCAAATTGCCCAAAAGCAGGATATAAAATATATTTTTCTCAGCAGAAGATTCCTCCTGTGGGCTCATGACCATCGTTTCCTCACAATGGGAAATACGTTTCCAGCAAAACAGAATACACTCCTTGAAATACCATAAATCACTTGAGCAACTATATTAGTTTAGGACATTTGGACAGCAAGTCTTTACTGTCTATCATCTAGTGCTAGTAGAGAACCTAAGGCAGTCAGCTCTTTCTGTCTTAGTTTTCTGTTACCTCAGGAAATAAAGATGGGGAATGGCCACTGCAGGACAGTTTCAGGGGACCCTACACCCACCATTTAGTCTTCCCAGCAGACAGATAATTTTCCTGGAGTTAATGATTTTTTTGCCAAATATAGTATAT